TTATTTGTTTCTCTGGAAGTTCTGCATGGATTGTTTCTTTGTTTATAAATGTTCAGGTTCATTATTTATCGTGCCTTACTTTTCTCATACCTTGATTTCTTTCATTTCTCTAATAGTTTTTAAAATAGATGTTCCTTATTGAGTTATGTAACTTCTAAATTATTTTGGCAGTTTTGCCTGAAATTTTTACTGAGTTTTATGGTAATTTTTTCTTCACAGGTTTGTAGTCTGGGATATTCAGAACACTGCAAAGCTGGAGTTGGGTTTTTGTATTTTCAGATAGTTGCGCCAGGAGTCCTAGAGACATGAATGCCAGGGAATTAATTTTTTATGAGAGATTCTCTTAGATCATACTTGTGATATAAATTTAAACTACAAATTCAAGTGATGAAAGACCTGTAATTATGAAATTGAGGCTTTTTATCAAATCTAGCTCGCCTTGATTAAAAGGACTAGAAGTCCCCCTCATTAGCATATCAGTGCTTGCTTACTAGTCTAGTTTTTAGCTGCTCTTGAGATTTGTCTTTGGGGGGATTGTAACAGTGTCTAGAAGAGAGCCAGAGCAGAAGGGGAGGGTGTAGCTGGCTTGACAGATACTGATTCTCATGTAATCAGTAGTAAAGACCAGAAAGTAGATAAGCACCTTAGTGCTTTGGGATAACAGGAGCAGATAAGGAACTTCTTTCAGTGGCATTTAAATGAATAAAAAGAATTGTCAGTGTGACAGCTCATGCCTCTTATTCCTCTTGTATGTGTTTGTGTAGCAAAATGATGACTAGCAAATAATTATTTGGAATGAATTTAGTAAGCTTTATGAAAAGGAGTACATTTTCTTTTTTCTGTTTTTAAACTTGTTCCACGATTTGTTAATAAATCCATTTGTGGTTCTAAAAATAATAACTTCAATGCATTTTTACCCTTTTTTTGTAACAAAATGAGAGTGAGTATGATTTTATGTAGGGGCTTTTTTCCTATTTGATGCATGCCCAGACCTCTATGTCTTCACTCTGGCTCTTCCTAATTCCTCTGTAGGAAGATGTTCTAAAAATAGCCTGGGTCGTAGATGTTCCCTGCCGGGTCAGATTGCTGAATCATTTAGTTCTGCAGAGTTCAAGAATATGGAAAATAGTATCTGACAGCCAAGCATGTTCCTCAGATGACACATTCATTATTCTTTTGAAAAATAATTATAATCTTCTCAACAATCTCATAGTAAATAATTTTAAGTGTGTGTTTTGAAAATATATAAAATGGTTTTAAATCTTCAAAAATATTTTGATTGTGATTTTCAGTACTATATTATGTAAAATTGTGACAATGAGCAGATTTATAACAGGAGCATAAATGTTCTTCCGTAAATACTCCCAATATGTAAGCATTTTATTTCATCTCTTTTTTCTCATTTTAGGTATGTTAGCATTCTGACTGTTTAGTAATAGTTTCTCTGCTTGTGAAGTAGTTAGAGAATGTCCTGAAAAAAAAAATGTTGGGAGTATTTAATTCCTGACAGTAAAATAAATATGTTGACTTTTTCTAAAGTAGAGATGATTTAGCTTTCTTACATAATTTCTAAACACTCTCTCCTTTATCTACCATTGCAAAATAATTATAATTATATTGTTGGGATCAGCAGGTTGCAGAACGCTAGCCTCACCACCAGAACAACCTATTGATAAAGCAAAGCTTGACGCACATGCTCTCAACATACTCTTGGTTATGTTTTCGAGGCCAAGACGGGGTATTTATTTTTGAGATTTCTTAGGGGTCTAGTTTAGAGTGAGTCTTTCAATACAGGGCCTTAAGTAAAATTGATAAATGTATGATATAATAGATTTGGATTGGTGAACAGAGCAAGATGAGCCTTTCAAAGTGAGTTTTGGACATGGTATTAAACTTGTTTTCCATGGGATTAATAACTATCTCATTCTCCCCATCAATTGAGGGTGCTGTTTAAATATCACTAATTAGTATCCAAACTGTCCAACAGTCCAGCAAAATTTCTCTCTCTACAGACACAAATATGAGGTATCTGCCCATCACTTACTCCTGTGGGGCCATTCCTCCTCCGTCCTCTTGTCCTGTGTCTCTGATCTCGGCTGTGTGTTCTTAGACCTGCCAAACGGAGGTCCCCCTTCGACTTCCCTTTGCCTCCATTGGATGCTGAATCCTACTACCTGGATTTACCTATTTTCCATCTGTGGTTTACTCTCACACTTCTAGTAGTTTTTAACATGTCTTTTTTCTATAAATAATTCATACATAATTCTATAAATAATTCACACATAGATAACATATTATTATACTATGTTTCCTTTTTATCTACTGTAATGGTAGAATTTCACACAAAAATGTATCCCAAAATTTCTTTTTGTATCCCAGAGTTTCTAGGACAATTATTTTCTCAGAGAAATGAAATTTGGGACTACAAAAATAATAATGGGTAATTATTTTACTTTTTAAAGTTCTGGAAAGGCTAAAAATGGGTATAGGGATATAGGTAATTGAAGTCTGATTTTTAGTTTTCAATTTGTTGTAAATATTTTTATAACTATCAGGTGATAACAGTTTATGATTTTGAAAATTTGTTAAATTTTGTTTCATGGATGAAAATAAACATGGAACATTAGAATATCAAATAAGCTCTAAAAACCATTTTTCTCACAAACTATAACCTGATGTAATTTGAATTTATATTGTAATTGCAAAAACATGATGATTTGAAAGCTGTCTTTAGTCTCTGAAGCGGGTGTGACAGAGATCAAAGAGGAAAATGTAACTTTTAAAAAGATGCCTTGACTCAAAGGAGACCCAGGCTAATGCCCCTGGGTTTCTCTCAGCTGGGTATCAGCAACAGCGCTTGTGCCCAGAAACACGTTAGGCCAGTGAAGGCAAACCTCTCCGAGCTTTCAGTGATACAAACAGCCCACTGCAGCAGCCGCAGAGTCCAGAGAGGACTTTCAGCCTGGCCGTGGCTCCATGTTTCCAGAGACCGGATAAGAAGGAACCTGCCATTTCCTTTGGAAAATAGGGTCCTGGACTAAAATCTCACATCTGTAAAGAGCTTTTTCAGGAGTAGTCCTGCGAATGACCACATCAGAGGAATGGTGTTCGTAGCCCGTGTTTTGCCCATGGGCAATTTAGGACTTAAAAAGTCAAGAGAAGGTTGGAGAACATTATTCAGGGAAGGTTGGAGAATATCGTAAGCCAGATTCATTTTTCCTGTGCTCTCTCAACAACCACTAAGTGACTCTGCCACAACTCTATCACTTCTATATTTTCTTTCTAGTAAAGATTTTTAAAAGAAACAAATACATGCCGGGCGTGGTGGTGCACACCTGTAATCCCAGCACTTGGGAGGCTGAGGCAGGAGGATCGTTGTGAGTTCGAGACCAGCCTGGGCTACAAAATGAGCTCAAGGCCAGCCTGAACTGCACAGTGAGACCCTGTCTCAAAAAGAAAAAAAAAAAAAAAAAAAGAAACAAATGCAGCATTTTAGGAAAAATTAGGGTTATCTATAATTTTGAAGTACTTATCTAATCACTTACTGAAGTCTTAGAAATGGTAGTTTTAAAATGCAGGGTGAGGGTCAGGGATGTAGCTCAGTGGTGCAGTTCTTGCCTGGCAAGCGCAAGGCCCTAAGTTCGATTCCCAGTACCCAAAAAGAAAATAGTCAAAAAAAGTCTGTTAAGATAGCGGGGAGTCGGGCTGGGGATTTAGCTCAGTGGCACAGCACCTGCCTGGCAAGTGCAAGGTTGTGAGTTCAATTCCTGGTACCGGAAGAAACACACACACACACACACACACACACACACACACAAAAAAAAAAAAAAGATAGGGAGGAGGAATAGGTAGAAAGATGACTGTGGAATGATAAAACAAGCTTTGATTAGGTTTAAATATTAGTTCCAATAATTTGTAAAATGTGTACCCTTATATTTGTATTACTCACACTCATAAAACTGGGAATTATTACGAGTGATATTGCCCTTAAAAATGAAAACAAGTGTCTGAGAAGTGGCAGTGTGTAGCACGTGAAGAGTAAAGTACTGGAACTCCAGATAACTGAATGTGCCCTGTCCCAGCTCCTGGGAGAATGTGAACCTGTGGGCCAGCTCCCACCCCGCCCTCCTCCAGCCCCCAACAACCTCAGCTGCTCATTGTTTTACAAATGAAAAATGGGGCTGGGAGCTGGGTAATTACTAAGCTTCCTCTTCACATCCTGTTACCCCAATATATGTCATATTTTCCAGCGGAAGGTTTGTGGGGGTTTTTCCTGCTTTAATGAAGTTAGATAGTTTTGCTTATATTAGTTTGAAATTATTTTTAAATCACATGGGCCTATACCAATATTTGCTAAGGGTAACTATTTTAAAGGAGCGGTGTGTTTTTACCAAATATTGGGTCACATAAGAACTTGTAGTCTGTGCTAAGATGGGAGATGCCCTCCGGCGCCCTTCGGTGACCGCTGTGTCACCGGCCTTTCGTTTTATGGGGGATTCTCAGTGTGCTGGCTCATTTGTAACTGAGTGGTAGATCCCCAAAGGTCTGAGAATAATACGGTCAACAGCTGTGACATTCATACTATTGCTAGAAGAGATAATGGTATAAATTTAAACGGCAAAGATTCTGAACGGCCTTGTTTTAAAAGTGTCTTTTCACTGGCGGTGTTTGATCACACTGTGCTTGTGCTCCGTAAACGCTGAAGTAGCACTTTGGCGTCTTTCCCAAAAGCATGCTTAAAGAGGCGAGCTGCAGCATCTCCCTCGGTCTCCTTAGTGCTCCCCACCTTGCAAGTGGTGCAGCTCGTTCTGCGGATGTGCCGAAGCCCTCCCCTTTGGTCTGCAGTGGGGAAGAGGGGAGTTCAGAGTCCAGGAGAAATCAATGATGTGGCTGGGCTGCAGGAAATAAATGACTATGTATTTCAACGGCTGAGCATGAAGGCATTCATAATAGGGTTTTCTCTTTCAGCTGCTAATTTTTTGCTTTCTGTTTCCTTCTAGAGAGATGTGGATAATTTGCCCAGCCTCCAGCGTCTGTTTCTCAGCTTCAACAATATATCTAGGTGAGTGGAAACTCCCAGCTTGTTATTATTAATAACCTGATTGTGTGGACTCTGGCGCTTTGAGATTGTAAATGCCTTGGAGCATTTTATCGACACGGAAGACTATAAATTTGAAAATGATAGGATGATTTCATGACAAACTTCTCTGTGCAACAATGAAGCCCTTGTCCATCTTAACACTTGTATTGTTAAAATAATGGAATTGGTATAGCATGTGCTTTTTACTTAGTTATACTTTTAGAGCTGCTCTTTTGTAATACATTTGCACTTGGAAATTTCAGCATATATTTTGCTGTCCTTTGTTTGACGTTCACTGCACTAGTCAGTTGAATTAGAATTTCTTTCATAAATTATCACCTACCATTTGTATAGCTATTAAGCAGTTTTGATAAAGCAGGCTACATTTGTCACTGAGCTGTATGCTAATCAGGCCAGAACTGCCTTTTAACTTGGTATCTACTCAGAAGTCATGCCTGTAATAGGTGGCATACTAGAATATGTAAATGCAGAAATTTTATTTCCCAATATGTAAATCATACCATCTTTTATATCGTGATGATGTCTTAATTAGTGTCAGTGTAGAAGATTTCAGAACTGAAGCTGAGGCCTACAGTCAGACTTGTAATGCAAAAAGCCCCTACTTCTTCCCTAATTCTTTCTTTCTTCTGCTTTTCCCCCTTGTCAGAGAGGTAAGATTTCTTTCTACCAGCTACTTAGTTTGAACTAGGGTTTGTGACTGCCCTCAGTTCTTCAGCTTCCCTTTGAGGCTGTCCTTTCAACCTGATTTGATAAGAGGATAAACATTAAGAATGAAATAGTTTAGAGTCTGAATCTCTTCTGGAACTCTAGTGCTATGCTTCTGATTTTTAAAAACCAGTGTAGCTTTTGTGCATTTTTCTACAGCCTTTTTTCCTTTGTCATCCCTAAGTGCTCACCCCATCTTCCTGTACTGTGGCTTTAAAAGGTAAAGATTATCTCAAGATGGTAAGCTTTGCAGGGACATTGCTGCAAAGAAAATTCCTGTAATCTTATTTTTCTCTCTTCTGTGGAAAAATATTAAAGTTTTATGATAGGATTTTCATATTCGTCTCAGTTTATACTGACTACTGTATTTTCTAGCTGTATTTTCTAGCTTCTCTCCCTTGTCAGAGAGGGAAGATTTCTTCTCATTGGCATTGGAAGGAATACTCAGTTTTCTTTAGAGAATTTTTTTCTTTCTTTTTTCTTTCTTTTCTTTCTTTCTTTCTTTCTTTCTTTCTTTCTTTCTTTCTTCTTTTTTTTTGACAAAATCCTGCTGTGTAATTGAGGCTGGCCTTGAACTAACTCACTATATAGTCCAGGCTGGCCTGACGATTCTTCTGCCTCAGCTTCCCAAGTGCCAGGATTATAGCCATGCACTACCTCACCCAGCTTCTTTAGGGAATTTCCACTTGAAGACCATTAACAACTTGTTAGATAAGAAAATATATTAGTTGTTTAAGGTGCTGCAAACTCTTAGATTTAAACCTGTGATAGAACTCATTCCTTTTTTTGTTTTACTCCTGGTCCTTTTTGTAGGGGAGCATTTAAAGAAATAAAAGCATGGGCCTATGGGGTTATGATGCTCTCAGGTCCCTAGGATACTTGAACTTCTGCACTTCTAAATTTCTGGCACTGTAGGGAGTTGGTCTTAGTTTCTGGTATGTGGGGAACTTTCTTTTGAAATCTGGAGTTTCATCCACCCTGCAAAATAAAAATAAGATTAATGGGAGGCTGGGTATAGCTTGTTGGTAAAGCCCTTGCCTAGCATATGTGAGGATCTAGATTTGATCCCCAGCATTGAAAAATAAATAAAAATTTTAAAAATCTTTGTCAGACTTGGTAATGCACATCTCTATTCCCAGGTCCTTGGGAGGCTGAGGCAGGAGGATTGTGAGTTTGAGGCCGGCCTGGGCTACACAGCAAGACCCCCATCTCAGACAAAATAAATTAGAAAAAAAAGATTAGTGTGATTAATATTTATAACTACCTTTTTAAAAATCATGATTCCTCAAAAAATTGAGACAGAAGTAAGTCAATAATTTTAAGATTTTCATTGTCTTTCTTTCTTATTTTTTTATTTTATTTTATTTTTTGAGACAGGGTCTTGCTATACAGTTCAGGCTGGCCTTGAGCTCACTTTGTAGCCCAGGTTGGTCTCAAACTCGCACTGATTATCCTGCCTCAGCCTCCCGAGTGCTGGGATTACAGGCATGGGCCACCACTCCTGGCTGCCTAGATTTTCATTTTCATACTGATTACTTTCTGTGTTTCTGCATAGGCTTAGCCTTATACCTTTTTCTAGTGTTTCCAGCTGATCTGTGGTTGAAGCAAAGTAGGTTTTCTGCTGCTTCTGTGGAGACAGAGTCTGACGGGGGAAATTGGAGAGGGAGGAGGAGAGAGAGCTTTGAAAACATTTCTATAAACTTTACTCCTGACACATGTATCTTAGGTATCTGGGCTAGCAGGTGACCTGGAGTGACTGATATTATGGTATCTTTCATGGTCTCATTGCCCCATTGTGTTCTGCCTTAATAGAGTTGTCAGGTTTTGCACTTCAGCGGCCCAGGAGTACCAGAGGTCAGTAATATAGAAATAGCAATGTAAAACTGAAAGTTAGTACCTTTCTGAGCTCTCAGGTAGCATCCAGCAAATAAAATTATCCAACTGTATAACTTGTTGGGTGGGTGAGGGACAATGTATATTGACTGTTTTGTTGTAGGACTTCCTAGGTTTTTACCAAGTGGTCCCTTTGCATCAACTATTCCGTTCCCAGGAGAAATATGTAAGCTTCCAAATGTGATGGCATGCTGTGGGATTCAGAGAGTTCCAACGTGGGATGAACAGGTATCTACACCAAATGGTGGGTTCATTGTGAGAGTACTGGACAGACTCTCTTTTTGTATGCTTGCCTACAGATATAAGAACAGTGCACTTAGTTCTATCAGTGTCTTGGTTACTTTTCTCATTGTTGAGACAAAATACCTAACACTCAAAGTTAAAAGAGGAAAGGTTTATTTCAGCTCAGTTTATAGAGGTTGCAGTCCATGGTCAGCTGCTCCAAGGCAAGGTGGCATAGCAGAGGAGAAACAGTCCATGGCAGGCAGGCAGGAGATAGCAAAGCAGCAAGCAGCAGTGGCAGCAGCAAGCCTGCTTTCTCTCTTTCCCTTTAGGTTCTATGGAGGCTATAAGCCTGTTGGTTGATGCCACCAACACCCAAGGTGGGGCTTCCATTGTCCACACCCAATGTGGGGGTACCCTTAATCCCAGTGTCACACCCTTAATCCATGCTCACACACTCTAATCCAGCTACCTTTAAAACTCCCTACCTATGACCATGTGAGGCTTTGGAGGGACATCTAGGTATAAGCCATAACAGGAAGCATGCAAGACGTACTGAGAGAGTGAATGACATGTCCCATGCTATACATCTCAATAGAACCAGTGTATCTGTTTAAATGTCCCTCAGAACATTCATAGTCTACTGAGAAAGACAGAGATGTACGTAGCTAATTATATTACAACGTTAGACTTAGTTATAGTGATATGGAGAGATAATTGGAGAGCAGCAGGGAATACAAGTTAGCCTGGGGGAGGGAGGTCAAGGCAGCCTTCCCAGGAGGAGGTGGTACTTGGCTGAGCTATGAGTGAAGGCTATTTCCCTTAGAAAAGTGAAGGGTACTTAACATATTCCAGGTAGGGCACAACCCCAGCAAAGCTGACACAGAGGGTTCGTGATGCTAGGTTTGCCCTTTGGGAACCTGCAGTGAAATTCCAGTCTTTCCCTCTCTCTACCTGTACACTAAGCCTAGGGCCCCCTGAGCCCATATATTGATGGGGGTGCAGTGAAAGTCCATTTCCTGATGACCACTCTAAGGGAAACATTCCATGGTTCATCAGGAGGGGCAGTTGTATCTAATTTGTTCTTCAGAGATGATCATACCACTGTTTAGCTCTTCAAGATTGTTTTGTTTTTCCTGACTCTCATTATTTTAATTTATGAGTCTCTATTACAGCTTACTCATGCTTTTTAGTGAGATGACATTTTATTGGATTTCCAGATTTACTTTTCTTTCTTGGAGTTGGTACCTGTGTTTGTTATTTAAACAAAAGAAACAAAAGTGCTTACTCTTTCTGTGCTCCTTTATTTCTGTGCTATTTTGGCTGGCAGTTCATATTTATAAATTAGGGTCTACCAGATGGATTCATTTCCTCAGAATAAGTGAAAAATCTATTATGAATGCCAATTATGAGTACTGTACAGGAGCTCTGTGTGCAGAGGGAGGGAGGGGGCGGGCCGCCTCTTAGAGGTCAAGTTTCCTTAGTGATGTGCACACACGAGACTTGCTTTCTGAGTCAGGGCTCCTTGCTGGTCTTGGCCACCAAAACTTACCTAGAGCACTGTCCTCTCTCATCATTTCCAACCTGGGGATAGTTTAGGAGTCAGCCAGTCTAAAAATGAAAGGTAACAAATTGTTACTTTGATAAGTGCCTGGACAACTGACTATGTCCACTCGAACCCCTGCTGCTACCTCTGACCTAGGGACAATTCTAAGGCTCCACCTGGGACACTTACTTACAGTGTAATGCTCTTGTCTTTTATAGATGCTTTCAACAAGTGTATTTGTACTGATTCCTTCTGCTTTATATCTTCTAGAACTTCTTTAGTGTTCTGGTTTATCAACAGTATTTCTTCTGGGTTTCCAGTACTGCTGTGGATATTTTCATTTTTTTTTTTTGTTTCATTGTTCCAAAGAGCATTTGAAAGTGTGGCGAGGTGAGAGCCTGTGCTCAGGGAGCTGTGCTTGTAGGTGTCTTTCCCTCCGGTGACTTCCTCGGCTCCACATAAGGATACCCTGGAAGCTTTAAACCTGGTTCACTACCACATAACCTGCTCCAGTGGACTTGCAGAGGGCCAGGAATCTATATTTTATTGAAATTTCTCAGACAGTTCTAATATTCAGTGCTAGATTTGGGAGCTA